TTGCACCGCGCATTTTTGGGACTTCAACAGTTATTACTAAAGTATGATATCAGATGATCGATAGACAAAGTGTAGGGCGGTCCTCCACTAGATGGAGTGATGACCTGGTAAGACATTCAGGAAGTCGATGGATGCAAGTGGCTTAGGATAGTGCTTTGTGGCATTCCTTTTGGGAGGTCTATGTTCAGCAATGGACTTGCGAAGGGCTGTAAGGATGATGAATGATGATTATTATTGTAAAGGTAAGAGTGGTGCGATAAATGTTAATCCATGTAAACGATAGACATGACAATGGACTGAGCGTTAGCCTCACAAAAGTAACTATTCTCTAGAAAGGGATAAATCAGCTGCGCGGCCAATACCTGATTCTTTCCTGCAAGCCTGATTGGTCCACGTCCTGCAAGCCAGGGACGTAGATCAATCAGAATTTGACGTGGCCCAATCAGAATTTGACGGTCCACGTCAAATTCAAATCAGAATTCTAGAAAGAGACTACTACTGGTCACACATTCGCTTTGTCTCTCTCGCACTTTTCGGTCTGTATTCACTGCATAACTGAATACGGAACGCACAGTCCATTCTCTCTTTATTAAATTGTGATGATGGTGAGTGTGTTTATGGATTGAGTACGTTGTGGTTGGCAGCTATGACGTGCATGAGGGCCGCTGTGTGCGGTTCGTGTGCTCGCGCGTCGTGCTGGCGAGCGGCGCCGCCGACCGGCCCGCGCGGCCCCCCGCCGCGCTGGCGCCCTACGCGCTGCGGGACCTGGCCGAGCTGCACCGCCTGCCCACAGGTGAGCCCCCGCCGCGCTGGCGCCCTACGCGCTGCGGGACCTGGCCGAGCTGCACCGCCTGCCCACAGGTGAGCCCCCGCCGCGCTGGCGCCCTACGCGCTGCGGGACCTGGCCGAGCTGCACCGCCTGCCCACAGGTGAGCCCCCGCCGCGCTGTGGGACCTGGCCGAGCTGCACCGCCTGCCCACAGGTGAGCCCCCGCCGCGCTGGCGCCCTACGCGCTGCGGGACCTGGCCGAGCTGCACCGCCTGCCCACAGGTGAGCCCCCGCCGCGCTGGCGCCCTACGCGCTGCGGGACCTGGCCGAGCTGCACCGCCTGCCCACAGGTGAGCCCCCGCCGCGCTGGCGCCCTACGCGCTGCGGGACCTGGCCGAGCTGCACCGCCTGCCCACAGGTGAGCCCCCGCCGCGCTGGCGCCCTACGCGCTGCGGGACCTGGCCGAGCTGCACCGCCTGCCCACAGGTGAGCCCCCGCCGCGCTGGCGCCCTACGCGCTGCGGGACCTGGCCGAGCTGCACCGCCTGCCCACAGGTGAGCCCCCGCTGCGCTGGCGCCCTACGCGCTGCGGGACCTGGCCGAGCTGCACCGCCTGCCCACAGGTGAGCCCCCGCCGCGCTGCGGGACCTGGCCGAGCTGCACCGCCTGCCCACAGGTGAGCCCCCGCCGCGCTGCGGGACCTGGCCGAGCTGCACCGCCTGCCCACAGGTGAGCCCCCGCCGCGCTGGCGCCCTACGCGCTGCGGGACCTGGCCGAGCTGCACCGCCTGCCCACAGGTGAGCCCCCGCCGCGCTGGCGCCCTACGCGCTGCGGGACCTGGCCGAGCTGCACCGCCTGCCCACAGGTGAGCCCCCGCCGCGCTGGCGCCCTACGCGCTGCGGGACCTGGCCGAGCTGCACCGCCTGCCCACAGGTGAGCCCCCGCCGCGCTGGCGCCCTACGCGCTGCGGGACCTGGCCGAGCTGCACCGCCTGCCCACAGGTGAGCCCCCGCCGCGCTGGCGCCCTACGCGCTGCGGGACCTGGCCGAGCTGCACCGCCTGCCCACAGGTGAGGCCAGGTCCCGCAGCGCGTAGGGCGCCAGCGCGGCGGGGGCTCACCTGTGGGCAGGCGGTGCAGCTCGGCCAGGTCCCACAGCGCGGCGGGGGCTCACCTGTGGGCAGGCGGTGCAGCTCGGCCAGGTCCCGCAGCGCGTAGGGCGCCAGCGCGGCGGGGGCTCACCTGTGGGCAGGCGGTGCAGCTCGGCCAGGTCCCGCAGCGCGTAGGGCGCCAGCGCGGCGGGGGCTCACCTGTGGGCAGGCGGTGCAGCTCGGCCAGGTCCCGCAGCGCGTAGGGCGCCAGCGCGGCGGGGGCTCACCTGTGGGCAGGCGGTGCAGCTCGGCCAGGTCCCACAGCGCGGCGGGGGCTCACCTGTGGGCAGGCGGTGCAGCTCGGCCAGCCCCCGCCGCGCTGGCGCCCTACGCGCTGCGGGACCTGGCCGAGCTGCACCGCCTGCCCACAGGTGAGCCCCCGCCGCGCTGGCGCCCTACGCGCTGCGGGACCTGGCCGAGCTGCACCGCCTGCCCACAGGTGAGCCCCCGCCGCGCTGTGGGACCTGGCCGAGCTGCACCGCCTGCCCACAGGTGAGCCCCCGCCGCGCTGGCGCCCTACGCGCTGCGGGACCTGGCCGAGCTGCACCGCCTGCCCACAGGTGAGCCCCCGCCGCGCTGGCGCCCTACGCGCTGCGGGACCTGGCCGAGCTGCACCGCCTGCCCACAGGTGAGCCCCCGCCGCGCTGTGGGACCTGGCCGAGCTGCACCGCCTGCCCACAGGTGAGCCCCCGCCGCGCTGGCGCCCTACGCGCTGCGGGACCTGGCCGAGCTGCACCGCCTGCCCACAGGTGAGCCCCCGCCGCGCTGGCGCCCTACGCGCTGCGGGACCTGGCCGAGCTGCACCGCCTGCCCACAGGTGAGCCCCCGCCGCGCTGGCGCCCTACGCGCTGCGGGACCTGGCCGAGCTGCACCGCCTGCCCACAGGTGAGCCCCCGCCGCGCTGCGGGACCTGGCCGAGCTGCACCGCCTGCCCACAGGTGAGCCCCCGCCGCGCTGGCGCCCTACGCGCTGCGGGACCTGGCCGAGCTGCACCGCCTGCCCACAGGTGAGCCCCCGCCGCGCTGGCGCCCTACGCGCTGCGGGACCTGGCCGAGCTGCACCGCCTGCCCACAGGTGAGCCCCCGCCGCGCTGCGGGACCTGGCCGAGCTGCACCGCCTGCCCACAGGTGAGCCCCCGCCGCGCTGGCGCCCTACGCGCTGCGGGACCTGGCCGAGCTGCACCGCCTGCCCACAGGTGAGCCCCCGCCGCGCTGCGGGACCTGGCCGAGCTGCACCGCCTGCCCACAGGTGAGCCCCCGCCAATTATGACGGGACTTTCACTGGCAGGATAGCTAATGCTATAAGGTGTAACTTAGGCTACTTTTATTTTAGAAAAATAATGTTGGTTCCGTGCAAAAAAATTAAAACCCATGAAGTCCAATCGTAATAAATTATTACACACGGAGGAAATTGCGGGGATTAGAAAAAGCATGTGTGTAGTTTACACGCGGTGGAAGTGAAACTTTCAGAAAATGAGACAGAGATAATACCTGTTTTGCTGACTCTATTTAACTGGTTTGGATTGCATAATATTTTATATTACCGTTATTCATTAGCCCACTGATGTACATAAGCTACCACATAGATTTTGATATAGTTGGCGAGCAATTTATCAACTGCTATTTTTTTTATGATTTTGAGTTGTTATTAGGAACATGCTGGTACCCATCACCTGTGTTTGTTTCTCTTTGTCGTCTCTTTCGACACCCACGGGATGATATGAGGGAGTGGATATTTTTACACCGCTACTATATGGCATAGTATTGTATTTTATATTTTTTGTGGTAAGATAGTGTCGGTACACCCAGAGGTGCACTCGTAATTTTGCTTTTATTTTATTATTTTTCCTTTATTTATTTATTTAATCTTTCATGCACAAAGTTGTATATATGGCAGATTTAATGACATTCTCTCCCAGTCAACCATAAACAGAGATAAACAAATAAGAGGCGGTGCAGCAGTAATCAAAATAGAAGGGGCTAAAAAATATTGTATATACATATAAATATACATACATACATACATACACACATATATGCATACAGTACATGTTATATGTTTGTTAAATAAATGTTTTTCTATTCTAAGAATAAAATAGTACTACTTTATTCTTATGGTTATTACAATAAAATACGAATATTAATAATAAAAACAAGTCAGGTAGCAAAGAATCTTTCACTACGGCGCTTCGTTTTAAGATGCTAATTTCTCCTGCGGGTGTACATATTTGATGTCGCGGCGTTGTCTTTGACAAGATAGGGCACGTGGCAAGGCGGCGCGACACAAAGGCGACCGTACGTAACTATATTGTATTGTGTGGTGTGCGCAGGCGTGGCGGGGCCGGCGCTGGTGGTGGGGTCGGGGCTGAGCGCGGCGGACGCGGTGCGGCGGCTGCGCGGCGCGCGCGTGCTGCACCTGCACCGCGCGCCGCCCGCCGCGCTCGCCGCGCTGCCGCAGGCCGCCTACCCGGACTATCACCAGGTACGCTGCCAATTACTTTATCTATCCGCCTCGGACACGAGCTTCCTTTTCTACCCATGACTTATTCTAGCTGCCGCGGACACAAGGCTTTCTGCCAATAATTTTTCTTACTGCCTCGGATACGAGGCTTCCTACCAATAATTTTTTCTAGCTGTCACGGACACAACGGTTTCCGCCAAAATTTTTTTTTCTAGCTACCTTCGAACACGAGGTTTTCGGCCTTAAATTTTTTTAATAATAAATTCTACCTGTCCCGTACATGTTGCTTTCGATCAGCAATTTGTTTAAATAACCAAAACCTTAGCTGCCTTCGACTCAAGCAACAAATATCAACTTTTATTTATCTGTTTCTTCTAAAGTATTAAAATATTAATGTATTCTCTACCACCAGGCAATAAGTCCACCCATCATTGTAACCTTTATCCATTAATGTATTAAAGGAAACTAATTTTTACGGATTTTAACGTGTTCAATTTAATTTTTTAGTTAAATTAATTGTGATAAATTATGGCACGGAAATGTTCACGCATGAGCTCCATTTTTATTAACGACGTGTCAACTTTAAACCAACATAGTTTTTGTTTTCAAACATTTTTTTTAATTGTTTGAATGTGAGTAAGATTCTAAAAGGCCAGTATTCAAATTCTAAAAAAGGTTTTATTGTAACTCAATCCGAAATATTCTATTCCCGATCATTTCAGTGTGCCTCTCGTATCTTAATTATAGTCCTTCACAAATCCACTCCTGAACATAGGTCTCTCCCAAAAAGCTCCACAAAACACGGTCCTGAGCCACCTGCATCCGTCGACTTCCTGCATGTCTTACCTACTCGTCAGTCCATCTAGTTGGGGGATACCCTACACTTTGCCTACCGGTACGAGGCAGCCTATTGAGAACCTTTCTTCCCCATGAGTTTTTGATTCTTCGAGCTATATGACTGGAACTTTGCCACTTCACTAGTCTCTTGGCCTATGTCGGTAACTTTGATTCTACTGTGAATTCTAAGTTTATCACATAGAGAAACCCCGGTATAGCCACTCCTGAGAGACCTTGAGCTTCCTTGTACAGATTGCAGTGAAGGACCAGTATAAAGGTTATCGATGTAGATTAGGAACAAACTTGGCCCAAGCACACTGCCCTGGGAGACACCGTGAATTAAGTGGCAGTCTTCACTCAAATGCGTGCCAATTTTTACCCTTTGCTTTTATTTTCAAAGAAAACCATTTAACAATCTTAAGGATAAAACTTTTACTCCAATTTGTTCCAATTTATGTCCGAGATTAAAGATAGAGACAGTATTGAATGATTATGTTAATACTCCTGCTTAAAGACAAAAAATTCTTTAATTATTTTTGCTTTCTTTTATTACCATTTTACCATTAAATTAAGGTTTCCAAACACATTTCTATTTTCAACAACGATTTTCTCTAACCACCTACCTAATGCAGCATAATTGTACTATAAAAGTAAAAATACCGTAAAGGTGATGATCGATGGGAGCCGTGTAGTGGCGACAAAAGGGAATCCACTAGCCCATATCATCCCATAGGTGTCGTATGAGGTGACCGATGGAAACAAAACCACGGTTTTGTTGGGCAACAGCATCTTCTAGATTACAACTCAAAATAATAAAAAACTGTTAATACCAACACGGTTACTAAAGGCGACAACCATGGTAAATAAACCTATGACGCAATCTATGGAAAGGTCCACGGTTGAACACAGGTCTTCCTATAGACCTGTGTTCAACGGTTGAACACAGGTCTTCCTATAGAACACAGGTCTATAGGAAGACCTGTGTTCAACCGTGGACGTTTGATAGACTGTAATGAACGAATGGATGAAAAAGGCGACGCGAGCATAAATAATCAAAAATCATGTCTAATTTGTATTATAACCTGTCGAATTGAACGCATACATCAAACTAGTTATTTTATTCCACAGATCTACAAGATGATGTGCGACGGACCGTCGGGCAACCATCACAACTACACGCCGTACCCGGACCACGTCGTAGTGGAAGTCACGCCGTTAGAAGACCACGAAAACACCGACAAAAAATTCTGCCTCAAAAGAGTAAAACTCTTGAATCTAGTCACAAACGAAACTACGGAAGTAACGGTCTCCTTGATCGTGGTCCTCATCGGGTCGAGACCGGATCTATTCTTCTTACAAACGAACTTTAATTTAAGCAACATTGATGTTAAAAAAGACTGCATTAAATGTTTCAACGAACAGAAGCAAGCGGACAAAGGCAATATTGACCAAGAGAACCAAAGACAGTGCTTCCTTAAAAGTCATTGGCATTATTTAAAATCTGTTTTGGGACAGAGCATACAGAGTTGTAAGTCGAGATATCTAAATTATACAGAGATAAATGGCAACTCGGACACTAAATGCATCATTCCGGAGTGCAATGAGAGAGACGATGACTTGAAATGCAAATCCAGGGCTTTGGAGAAAGTCGAAAACGGATTTGAAGAGTGTAAATGTGAAGTTATACCCTACACAGATACTGTTGACAGGAAGGTGAAGTGCCAGTGTCAGCCAACAAATCCATATTCCAGCGGGTTGGGATTTGGAATTGACCCAACGAAGCCCGTAGATGGCAGGTCGAACCCCATCGCTATTGACAAAAGCACTCATGAGCTTCTAAATGCTCCCAAGGGTATTTATGCCCTCGGACCACTCACTGGAGACAACTTCATCCGATTCATTCCAGGTGGAGCCCTAGCCATTGTAGCGGACATACACAGACAAATGAAGACTACAGCAGAGTGAATTGTTACTTACTCAGTGAAATAAATGTGATTTGCTATACTTAATTTTGTTTTACAATAAATTATTTTTTATACCCAATATTGTATTTTATTCAATATTTTGGAACCTATATGTTAAAATGGTATTAGATCTTAAAGTTTTTTATTCTTACTTATAAGCCAGTTCTTGACTACATCCCATTCCCACCTGATGGTAAGTGATGATAAAGCCCTAGACAGTAAATAGCACTGTCATAGCGTAACAAAAGCCAATTCGCTCTTGCCTTAAAGACGCCCAGATTGTATTCGGATGGAAAGATAGACCCCCGCAAATTATTCCACTCTTGCTGTACGCATCAGGAAGCAAATCCTTTGGTTCTAATGCGTGGAATACCGACGACAAAGGAGTGAAGACCCGCCAACCGTCTGGTTGTCCGATGGTGGAAAAGAGAGGGAGGAATTAAAACATGTAATTCCTGCGTACACTTCGTAATGCATCCTACAGAATACCGAGAGGCTGGCTGCTTTGTGTTTGCGTTCGAAGCTGACAAGATTGGTTTCAACCAAATCATCCAATAAGCCACTTACCACTTCTCCACTGAGTCCAACATTACTAATGATTTCTTATATTTACGCGAACACTACACATGTAACTAAAACTAGTTTTACGGATTTTATCGCATATATCGGGTGTCTCAGTAAGAGTGCACTTTTTAAAATTGGAATATTTTTTTTTCATGCAAGTGGCAACTCTGAAATTTGACAGCTGTCATCTCTGTTTATTCCCATTATTAAAAATGGAGAGGTTTTCGAAAGACCAACGCGTTATAATTGTGAAAACTCTACAAAAATGGGGAAAGTTACGCTGAAACCGCTCGCAAACTTCGCCAAATTTTCAGCCGAGAAAGTGCACCCAATGTGTCAACCATTCAAAGAGTGGTTAAAAAATTTGAAGAAACTGATTCAATTATGGATAATAAGAATCCTTTGCGTCAACGTACCGGTCGGTCTCTTGAAAACATTGCTGCTGTAAACGAGAGTGTTGCCGAAAACCCGATAACATCAATTCGACATCGTTCTCAACAACTTCAAATTTCACGAAGCACTACGCAGCGAATTTTAACTAAAGACCTCCACCTTCATGCGTACAAGATTCAGTTAACTCAGGAGCTCAAACCAGCAGACCACGGAAAGCGCTGGCTATTCGTTCAATGGGTAATGGAGCAAAGTGAAGTCGATACCAATTTTTCGGAAAAAGTTATTTTCTCCGATGAAGCGCATTTTCATTTGGATGGCTTCGTGAATACACAAAATTGTCAAATTTGGGACTCCTCCTCCTCATGCAATCCATGAGAAACAAATGCACCCATAACGAGTAACTGTCTGGTGCGGATTTTGGTCAGGCGGCGTGATTGGACCTTACTTTTTTGTAAATGAGGCTGAAATTGCAGTGACTGTGAACGGCATTCGTTACAGGAATATGATAACGGACTTCTTGTGGCCTCAACTAGACGGCATGGATCTGGACAACATGTGGTTTCAGCAGGACGGCGCAACCTGCCACACCGCGCATGAAACAATCGACTTATTACAGCAACGATTTCCAGAACACATTATCTCACGAAACTCTGATGTCAACTGGCCACCAAGATCGTGTGATTTAACGCCGTGCGATTTTTTTCTTTGGGGTTTTGTGAAATCTCGGGTTTATGCGAATAAACCCGAAACAATTCCTGAGCTCAAATCGGAAATCCAACGCGTCATCGGTGAGATACAGCCACATCTCTGTGCAAAAGTCACGGAAAATTTCATGAAAAGAGTAATGGCCTGTCATCGGAGCCGTGGGGGTCATTTGCCGGATATTTTATTCCATACTTAATCGGAACATGTCTTCTTTACAATACAATAAAAATATCACAACTCTGTCATAAAATACTTGTTTTTATTTTAAAATGAAAAAGTGCACTCTTACTGAGACACCCGTTATTAACTTTTTTATATTTACGACGTTTGGAGTACTTAACAGCACCAATAGTCACGTGGGGGCACAGAACACAATTACTCTCTACCAAGAGACGGGGGGACTGAGATGTAGGGGAAGTCCGGGCAAAGTGAACACCCCGGGCAAAGTGAATAGTCCCCGCTATTACCAAACTATTCGTTTAGCATTAACCACGCGGCCATAGTAACGTTCCGCCATCTTGTCTCAGTGAGCGGCAAATACTTAAGCGAGAGGTTGTGTCGTGTGCCGTCCACAGAACGGCAAATTGTGTTTTCGAAAAATAATTTACAATATTTCGAGGAAAGTGTTTTGATGATATTTCCTATATTATTTGCTTATCATTCTTGGGCGTAATATAGTTCTATTACGTATCAAAGTGCCTTTTTAAAATATGTCGAACATGGAATTGAAACCAATAGTTTTTATATTAACTAACTTAACCTTAAAAGTGGTCGGGTTGGGCAAAGTGAATAGGGCAAAGCGGATATGATATCCACTTTGCCCGGCTGTTACGATTTTTCGTTTCAGTATTATAAAGCTCATATTTCGTTGCAGATGGTGCATAAATACAAAAGAAAAACTAATCAAGGCTCTTGGGATAAAGACGTCATGCAGATGGCTGTAAATTTATGCCATGCCGGAGAATCGGTGAAGGGCACAGCTAAAAAGTATGGGTTGGCTTATGCAACTTTGTACAGACACATCAAAAGTGGCAAGGTTACTCCAAAACTCGGCAGATTTCGTCCTGTGTTCAGTGAATATGAGGAGATAGAATTAATGACCTATCTCAAAGAAATGGATTCCGTGTTTTTTGGTTTAACTCGAGATGAGTTTAAGAATTTAGCGTATACCTATGCCAAAAAAAATAATTTGAGTTACCCAAAAAGTTGGGACAAGTATGAAAAAGCAGGAGATGATTGGCTACAATCATTTTGTCACGCCACACTGACATTACGCTCAGAACTGCAGAGGCAACATCGGTTGCGAGAGCAAAAGGATTCAATAGACATGAAGTCAGACGTTTCTACGAAAATCTTGAATCTTTAATTGATAAATACAATATTGATGCATCTAGATGTTATAATATGGACGAAACCGGTATTTCGACGACATCAAACAAACCCCCTAGAGTACTATCAATAAAAGGAAAGAAACAGGTGGGCATAATTGCAAGTGCGGAGCGAGGTCAATTAACGACTGTCATCGGGTGTTGTAATGCCGCTGGATCATTTCTACCACCCTTCCTGATTTTCGCCAGAAAGAAAATGCAACCCAGGCTTCTTGACGGTGCGCCTCCCGGAACTCAAGGTACTTGTACGCCAAGTGGTTGGACTTCAGGTGAGGTATTTCTTGATTGGATGCATTTCTTCGTAGAACATGTACGTCCTAGCGCCGACAAAAAGGTACTTCTACTCTTGGACAACCATGAGAGCCACAAATATTATCCTGCTTTGGAATATGCAAGTAAGAATAGCGTCATAATTTTATCCTTGGCCCCGCATATTACTCATAAAATGCAACCTATGGATGTGGCCGTCTACGGCCCACTGAAAACGTATTTTGAACGAGAGATTAATACATTCCAAAAGGCTCATCCTGGACGCATTGTAAATCAGTACGACGTGGCCAGACTGTTATCACCAGCTTTTCTGAAAAGTGCAGTCGCCATAAATGCAGTTCATGGGTTTGAACGACCTGGAATTTGGCCAGTGAACAAATATGCTTTTGGTGATGAAGACTTTGAACCAGCGGATGTGATTGCAGGCAGATCAAGTATGAATGTCAGCACAGTAGGCATAGATTCGATACAAATAATAGATATTCCTGATTCCGCTGCCTCTTCAACGCCTTCACCCTCACTTTCACAAGAATACAATTCGACAGTTGATCCCCATGCAGAAATAGTTCTACCTCCAGGAAAAGCTACAATTTGCGAATTATCTAAACCTCAACCTCAAGTCTCTGTTGCACCAATTGTAGTTTCCCAAGAATCTACTAAAACCTCAGAAAATATTATTCACAGTGAAGTATGCTCCATTATTACACTGGAACCAGAAACAGTGTCACTTAAAGCTTATTCTACTTTGGAGCCAGATGCTACAAATATTAATGTTATGCATCCTTTAAAAAGTGATGCAATGTTACCAGGGACCTCAAAAAATACTCGCTGTGATGACCCACCGAATCCGGAACCTGGATGTTCAAACTTTCACTACAGTCCCGTAGTATTAAGACCAATACCAAATCCAGAGAAACCAATAACAACTCGTAAACGCAAATTGCAAAAATCGGAAATTTTAACTAGTACACCTATAAAAGAAGAGCAGAAGTTAAAATTTGAAAAAAATGCAGTTAATAATATAAGTAAAAAACTAAATGTAGAATCAAAAAAAGTTTCAATAAAGACTACTAAAAAACCTGTTAAAAATAATAAACAATCAAAGAAAATTAAGAAATTTGAAGATATTGTATGTTTTTTTTGCGGTGAAATATATATTGAAGAAAATAATCATCCAATTGAAAATTGGGTTCGATGTGGCGCCTGTTTCAGATGGTGTCACGAAGAATGTTCCGCTTTCGAAGGCATTGGAGATTATACATGTGATAATTGCCAGTCTTAATTTTTAAGATTTGTCCTTTAAACGCGAATTTAAGTTTTGTCCGTCTATATTCCATAACTAAGTGTAACTTTGAGTTTTGTGTAATTAGAAGGTAGTTATTCACTTTGCCCGTGCACCATATCCACTTTACCCGGGGGTACGGGCAAAGTGAATACTATCTCAATTTTTTGAATTTTACTTTTTGTTACTAGTTGTTTTACTTTTAAAGTTAAATGATTATTATATATGTAAAAGCAATTAATAAAGACTGATTTGAGATATTTGTTTTGTTTCCATCTCTTATAAATTTTCTGATAAAGCCTTGAATATCTTAAGGTATTCGCTTTGCCCGGACTTCCCCTATGACGTCCCAATGTCATAGTTATATACCACGGCTACCTCCAGAATAAAAATTATTAATTTTTGTTCCGTTCTACGCAGTATGAACTTACAGTATCTTGAAGTTGTATGCTTGGGTGGGGATTTAATTTTATTA